TCGAAGGACGATATTTTGTCACCAATTGCCTGCCACTTCGGGATAGTATGATCTGAGTACTGTACGTACAGAAGCTGCCGCTTGTAACCCGGGATCTCGATGGATCCTTGTCAAGCAAATATGGATGGACACATGCACGACGGTTCAAAGCAGCTTGCACATGTCAAAAGCCCGATTCATCCGCATTCGATCCATCACTACATAAGACCGGCATTTGGTGATGCTCTTTCCAACAGCCGGTACGAGCTTTCATATATATACTCTTCAGCGATAGTTTCTGTCTACAGAGCACACCAACACTGGTACAACCCCATATATCTATCTGCTGGAATCAGCTTATACATGAGGCCACACCGAGAAAGGAGCGAGAAAAGAAAAGAAAACTCCCATCAACCGCCGGCAACCGAATCCGACCCTGACCTGTTTCCAATGACTGTCGATTTATTCTCCAGCTGTCCGGTCGACTCCGGCCTCTTCACCGCGCGTCTCATTCTGGGTCTTCCGCTGGGCCTGTCTGTAGCAGCGGGTCCGCTCTTAGGATACGGACAGGACAGCGCCCTTTGAAGCTCGACGCCCATTGTCTCTCCGCTTGTCCAGATTCCGCTCCCACTACTCCGTATTGTCCCCATGCTCACTTTAGCCCTGACTGTGTCACCGAGCCCATGCTTCAGGTACCGGGCTCTACCGTTATGAAGTCCACAAACACGCGCATTTCCCATGCACCGGTTCCGTCCTCGTGACCGGCCCGGTCCCGTGTATTCTGCAACGGCATATGTATTGCAGTTGCTGAACCATACAAGCTTCAGGATGCGGTATATACTATCTTTACAGAAACCCACAAGGTAATTGGGCGCAGAAACGTCGATTGGTCTATGGGAGTGGCCATCCGAACATTTCAAACTGAAATTACCAAAACGTGGGGGCTTCAAACACTGGTCATAGTCTCACCAAAAGAAACACAGTATCCAAGGGAATACCATTAAGTCAATCATCATGACGCTCTCAACCAAATTACATACTGGAGCCTCCCATTTTTTGCAAGTACATTTTGCAAGTCCATATGATAGGGAGCTTACTCCCAAACGCCAACGCCTGTGTGATGCAAGTGCCAAGGCATATGTCAATGCCGACCAAGATCCGAGATATCCCCTTACCAAGATCTCTGCATCTTGCATGTGGCGCATTCCAGCTCAGTACGTGATGCTTTGCTGGGAATTTGCGACATCAGGGTACAATCATCTCATCAACGTATTCATCTCTTGCCCCGAAGTAAGAGTGCATAGGAAGCTGAGCAGTTACAATCTGCCAACCTATGCTTTGTCGTGGACCTTCTCAGAGGGCGCGTCTGCGAGTTCTTCGTACCGATTCATGACATTCTCCTCCACGGTCTCATGGAATACATCCACCTCAGTAGACGCGAACTTCCTTGCGCTGATACCTCGCTCAAAGAGCACGTCGAGCTCCGCAAACGTGCGCCCGCTTGGCTCTGGTAGGCGGAAGAAGGTGTAGATGATGCACAAGAAGCAAATACCACCCTATTGTTCTCGTCAGTAACGAGGCGTATGTGTTATGGAGTAGCAGAGTGGCTCTTACCCAGAAGAATCCCGCATAATTACCCCAGTCCCAGGCTGTGGGGTTGAGCATATAAGGAGTCAAAACGCTGTTGATGATGCCCACAACGTTGCTGTTGTCAAATGTGGTTAGCTCTCAGTAACAACAGTTCGTTCATGGCTGAGCGCCAACTGAGGACGGCGTCCTTTGGCTTGTGCAACATTCGTGACTTACTAGAGGTTACGTCCAAGAACAACTGTCTTGATCTGCAGACGCCGGGATGACAATTCTCCCACAAGAGAATAGCATACAGTTCCAATGGTCAACTGGTAGAACAGCGCCCATACAATCATCATACAGCCTGTGGCGAGCGATGATTGGCTTCGATTAGCCTCGGGCACTAGACCAAGGAAACCCATGATGAGCAGCATGGAACAAAGACCGCAGAGACCATAGAGAACCAAGGATCTTCTGCCAATACCCAAAGTCATAAGACCCCAAGCACCAAAAACTCCGGCCATATTAATACCGTACTGGCCCAGGGCAAATGAATATGCCTTGTCGGCTGATAGTCCAGCCTGTTCAAGGAAGTAGGTGGAATAGTTGGAGAATGAATTGCCGCTCAGGTTCTGAATGGCCCAGATCATGCATACGATCTCGGTGCGGCGAAGGTCGGTGCCCTTGAAGCAGTCCCAGTAACTTGCACCTGATGTGATCTTCTCTTCAAGGGCAGTTGTATGTACCATCATGGCGATAGTTTCGTCGGCGTCAAAGTCAGTCTCGCGATCGAGACTGGTCAAGCGAAGCAATGCCTCCTTAGCATCCTGGGTACGACCTCTTCGGACCAGCCACCATGGCGATTCGGGCGCAAAAAAGATGCCAATGAGGAGTGGCAAGGGCCACATCCACTGGAGAGCATATGGAATGCGGTACGCCCATTCATCGTCGCGCTTGAGCATGGCGTGAATGACGCCTATGCCGATCTCCTGGCCAAGACCCCAGCAGAAGTTCACATACGTCGTCAAGTACCCACGCAGAGCAACTGGACAAACCTCAGATGCATAGGTGATGGTCAGTGTTTGGAAGATACCCCACGGGATACCACATAGTATCTCAGCAACAAGCAGAGTCTGAACGTTCTGGGCAGTAAAGAAGATGGCTGTGAAGCCAGCTACACAGACGAGACAGGCCATGACAGTGTAGCGATAACCAAATCGTTCAGAGATCCAGCCGTTGATAAAAAGACCAATGATCTCACCACAATGGGCTCCCTATGAATTGTTGATGAGCGAGTACACCGAGAACTTGTGGGCGGATGGCTTACGTTACTCAGACCAGCTTGCCACGCAGCTGGTACCTGATATTCTCCATCATCACCAAGGACGCCATACTTCTTGTTGAACTGCGGGAAGGCATCTGGTAGCAGGTGTTAGTGAGATGAAACTCTAGCTTCGCTCAGTATCAATGCTGGCTCCGCACACCAGGCACCTAATTGCGGTCTCACACGGATAGCCAGGTGTTGGTCAACACATACAAAAGTTATTGACGAGAGAGATGTCATAGCCCTCCATTACAATACATGTGGAGATGAGGATACTCCAGAAAATGGCCTTGGGATAGAGCTTGATGCCCTGGCGGAGGGTCATGGTACGCTCCTTGTGGGCAGCCGAACGGGCATGCTCGACGATGTTGATATGCGTCTTACTGGGGTCGGTGTTATCCTCAGCGGCCGAGTCCACGGCGGCCGTGTTTTCGGGGGTGTCCTTCGGAGGCGGGGCCGCTGCCGGAGCCGGCGTCACCATGTCTTGTTCACCCGCCATGACTTCAGCTTCCTGAGCCTGGTTGTGAAGATGGGCTTATAAGCCAACCAACACCTGACTTACAAAGCTGAAGACGACTATTGGAGAGCACTGCAGCGGACGGAGAGGAGCCAAGCAAATGATCAAAACTTGCCCATATACGCTTGATGAGGTGATGGAGGAGGAGGAGGAAGAGCAACGTCGAACAAAGTCATACAAATGTGAAGTTCAACGTGTGTAGAAAAGGTGACACTTCAAATGGACCACAATAAGACACAACCAAACAACAGAGAATCCGTGGTGACAGCGATGATAGCCACTCTTTACTCACACACGACCTGCAACAGTACGTAGCAGAAACAGAGAACAAGTAGAGCAGAGCAGAGCAGACAGAGAGAGAACACAAGAAGAGAGAAAGTCTGATGGAGTCCGAAGGGGACCTTTTTTCAGGTAAAAATGGATCCAAAGGTCAACAGCCTTTATTCTAGGGGCGGATGGTCGGATCAAAGCGGGACGAGCCATGCCAGACCAAGTATGGCAGAATCATTGAATAATGGAGTGCGACTCGAGAGTCTGGAGCTCGCAATTTCTCCCTGTGGTCGTTGCATTTTGCTAACAGATTGTCGGGGAGCTTGTGTGGCCACAGGCCAATGGCGCCTGTCGAGGAACATTATCTCTCAAGCCCATCCTTGCTATTTTCGAGTGGGCCGATTGCTCTTTTAACCGCAGGAAGACACCTCACGGTTCATGTCAGATCTGGTTCATTCAGATATCGAAAGAAGCAATGGTTGGATCATAAGACCCCTATACATGCTGCCACTGTTGCGTTCTTGATACACTCACTGCCTCACTACAAGCAGAACGTTGATCATTGTTTAACAACGGCATTCAAGCTTATCTTTTCGAAAGTTACCAAGGGTGCGGAGCCTCAACTTGGCTAACCCTACTTGACTCCAAGGCCCAGGAGCTAGAACAATCGGCAGCCATTTAGCGCCATTAGAACTTGCGAACCCCTGGAACTACCAGGATAATTGGGGAACTCTTTCAACGTCCGTGGTAGGGCCGACAAACCTTCACCGTTCATTTCATCCCTCGCTCAGTGGCGAGGGCGAATTTGCCGATTATCTTCATGATATTAGTTGAAGTGCCATGGAACACACCAAACTCGTGTCGTCAAATCATCATTTGAGGCCAAGCAATAGCTATTACTAACCTACATATATACCAGCTTCAATTCGTGACATGGGGGTCAGTCCAATATAAAGGAAAACACTCTTTGACCCCAATTGATACTGCAAGTCTTGATGATCTCCCAGTCAGCTATGATTCGATAAAGCCAAGACTTCAAAGTCCAGACCAGCCTATAGCGGAACACAGTTGATCTTGAAACTCATACACATGCCAGGGTGGGACTGCTCTCAGCCACTATGTACCTGATCACGATAGCTCGTGCGGGGGCCATAGTTGATCTATAAAGTTACCAGCCGTCTGGGGAACAGGCGGGGACTTGCATAAGAATCAAGTGTTTGGGTTTTCTTACGTTATGAGTCAGGTTTGGGTTGCAGTTGTTGAGTACTGATGTGGTGTGGTGTGGTGATGCAGCTCTCACATACAATGCTACTGATGCCATGCTTCGTTTGACTACTGGCCTCAATTCTTCTTCCACACGTCTCTCCACCACTCCTTTAGCCCATATGCTTTCTCCTGTGCTTCAACATGGACCTTGACATCGCCGCCTCCAGTTAATGTCTGTAACAAACCCGTCTGTTTGCCCGTTTGACCCCCTCCTCCCAGACTCCTGGCTTTTCCGCCCGTCGCACGCTCCTGAATCTCCCGGGCCACTGTAGGCGCAACTTCAGCAAAGCACGCTTTGAGTTCTCGCTCGAGTGAAAAGTACGGCTTCTTTGCTAGATCCGGCGCCATCAGGTTATAGCTTCGTGTCAGGGCGTTAAGACGCTCAATCGACAGCTTGAGATATGCCGCTTCAGTTTGTTCCCACGCTGAATCTCGAAATGGCCGTCCAACCACCGGCGAGGTAGCCTTGATCTCTTCCACTTGTCCATCAGCTTTCTTCCGTATAATTGGGTTGTGCACCTCTTCTGCTGCAGCGTATTCTTCTGCTCTTCGAATCTGCTCCTGCAATGATCCTCCCCGCGAAGCGATCATCCTCGCTGCAAAGCGTCGCCAGTCATTCCGTAGTCGAGCTCTAAAAATGCCTAGCTCTTTGGCAACCTCCTGTTGTTTCTCTATCCAGGGTGGGACAATATCCTGTCTTTGGATCATTTTGTTCATGATATACTCCGTCGTGTCGATGAAGGGGTTATCAGCGCGCGCATCACGCTCAATTCCCTTTCCGCGGGGAATATTCTTGAACTGTCCTCTCGCAATGGCGTTCTCGATGCGTTCATTCGCCAGTGCTGCAAGACCCGTGATAGAGTTTGGTAACGCTCGGGCTCCGGGCTCAAACCTCTCCCTGAGCTCTTTTCTCCAAGCCTCTTTTTCATCTTCACTCATACCATTTTTGGCTTGTTGGCCACCCATTCCGACGTAGGTGTTCACCTTGTCCCTCGCTTTGGCGACTTTCTCTCCGGCTGAGCGCCTCGGTTGCTTCTGTAGTCGCATATCAACCGGAGGAGGTTGGAAATTGCCCCTTAGGCCTGGGGCAAGAGGTTTCTTTGCATCATCGAGCATTCGAAGTACCGTGTCTGCAGTGCTCTCTTCTCCAGTCCACGCCTGCGCGGAGGCGATGTGCCGTGTTCCCTCGCCTGCTGTCGATGAGAGACCGGCCTCTGCAAAGGCGTTGGCATTTTCAGATTTGAAATTTGCATCTGCGATTTTGTTCAACAGTCTTTCCTTGAGCTCTTCCGAGAAACCGGCATCCTCAACGGCTCTACGTCCGGCTCTTCCACCAGTAAAGAGGGCTTCCTCTGTAGCTTCTTCCAGCCGTCGAGCCAAGGGTCGCAGTTCCTTCTCGACATTATTGTCATGACTCTCTTGTTCAGCTTTCTTTGCAGTTTTGTCTTGTTGTTGATCCTCTGTCTTGGGTGCACCAGCTTGCGTTGTATATTGAGCTGGTGGCAATGTTCTGGGTTGGCGAGAGACTTGTAGGCAACGCCGACATACAAAGGGCACCCGACGTATCGACACAGACATTTCTTGAGCCTAATAAATCTAGAAGAGACTAAGTTGAAGTCCAGTACGAAATTGAGAATGGTGAAAGAGGATGAACTTGTGTGAAATTGTAATGACGGCAATGAAGTTGATCGGTTGAGATTAGTCAGCCAGTCACCCTATACACCTCATCATCGCCACTTCAACCATCAATATATCATAAATTTGACTTGGAATAACTATCTCTAGTAAAGTCCTTTATCGTTAAGAAAGTACCTGCATGTGCTCATACTATTGAATAGTTCGAATTGTCTTGTCGTGTAAAGACTCCGCCAGATATAGGCACCAAAAATGACCTTCTAACCTCGACTCACCACCAACTCAGGCTCAGCCTAGAAAAAATGATTGAAGGCAATAGCGAGTAGAAGGGCAAATACTGAGCCGACTGGTGGCCTCGTATGAAACGCAAAGTCTTCTTTATCCCCCTTCTTCTCTTCGCCGTGGGGATCATCTCGGGGCTCTCCATCGGGAGTATTCGCCCTGACAATCCAAATACTGCTGCTATTGCCGTGAAGTTCACCACTCGCAAGATTAACTGTGGCTGTTGAGCCGAGGATTTTACCACTTTTACTTACACCGACAGCCCGTGCGGATCTAGGAAGTGGCAATGCCTCCAAGAGGATTTCTGTTTCAAAGCCAAATCGAGATGAATTTGCGAGGAGTCTCGGAGAAGAAGTGGCGTTCTTGTCATCTTCACCAGCGTACTACTGAAGAGTCAGTAACGGTCACAAGCAAGAGGTGTGTCTGGACGCACCACTTCCCATCGGTCAACCTGAGTATCGCCGTTCCAAGACACATAAATGGTAGCGTTTGTCGCCTCATTCCCTGGAAGCGCGGAAGCGATGGAAGGACCCCATGGAGGTCGGCCAATCCATTCCATCTTCCACGCGCGATACACAGACATATCAAGATCGGGATCACCGTCAGTCGCATGTGGGATAACTCCTCGCTGAATATCCATGACAACTGTACCATTGGACGTATGCTCTGTGATCCCTGGGTTCGCTCCCCAGCCGATAAGGAAGTTGCCATTGTCAAGGCCCTGGACGCTGCCCCCTGAGCCCGAGGAGATCTTCTGAGGATGGTAAAATTCATGCAAAAGCCTGACTGTCATTTCCTCATAGTCGAGTTCCACAACAACGCTACGAGAACAATTGTCTCCGCTACATGATCCGCTTGTGGTGACTTGGTTGTCGAAGAAACTGATTTGACTCTCATTGCCCTGGACAAACTTTGCGTTATATTGATTTGCGAAGTTGGTTGCATTGCCACCACTGAGGTCCTTGAATTGGTTGCGCTTTCCTCCGAGGACCCATCGTGGGTTCAGACTATCTGCTTGGAGGAGGATGATCGCCGAAAGACTCCTTGATGACACAAGGTAATGACCTTTCGAGGTCTGCTCCTGGTCAGTACCTGGAAGTTAAAGAAACCAAGAAGGGGGCTCATACCTTCGACACGCTGTCTATGTGAAACCAGTCGAAGCCATCACCATGCATGAACGTCTTTTTGGGACTGTATTTGACCATAGTGTCGGTCAGGTTGACATGCGTGAAGGACCTCCACACGTTGGTAACCCTGTTGGTTTCGAGCTCGACTTCTTGAAAGATAGAGTCGCTCAGCCAACCATCCATTTCACCCCCAAGAGCAGTCAAGTTGTATCTGACATCCTGGACAGCGGTCATCAGAGCTGTGCCCCCCTGAGCTGTGAACTCGAACTCATGGATACTGCCCTGTGTAGTCCCCAGGTCCTCGATCTCGACTGTCCATTTCTTCTGGTAGTTGGCATCAAAGGCATGACAGCGGCCGCCCTCGATGAAAGTGAGATATTTGCCCCCGCTCTTCACTTGAGCACGAGCATCGAATGTTTTGGCGTATGAGATATCAGCATATACAAGGCTGAGATCTTTGCTGGAGAAGATAGCAGGTCCCGATTTGTCGCCATGTTCCATTGTCAAGAAGAGAAACCCCGAAGCATCGACAAGATTGGGGCTGAAGGTACTGATTTGGAAGACAGGGGCTACTACATCCGAGGACTTGAATTCCTGTGTGGGAAATTGACCGAGGAAGCCCTTATTGTATGCCTTCAAGTCATTCACAGGAGCGTCATCTGCAAGAGAGGGAGTAGCTAACGAAGCAAGCGTCGCGACTTTCACCAAAAACGAAAGCATTTTTAGGAGGCAAAAAGAGGAAGAGACAGAAAGGAGAAAGGGATGGCTTAGAGAGAAGTTGCGAACAACGAAGCGAATGACGAGAGCCCCAAGAAAACTCCAAAAGTGCTCCAAAGACGAAATTTTGAGAGAGTGTAAAAGGGAAGAGGATCGATCGTTGATATTTGTCGGTGTAGGACGAGAGTTTCAAAAGCCTCTCACAAGAATGGAAAGGATGGAGTGAAGACGACATGAGATTTGCCGTTACCTCAAGGTAGTTGCACTGAACAGTTTCGTGCCTGCCCTTTCTGAGAAGTGCAACTGTAGCCTAAATATGAGAGGCAGGCAAGAGTCAAGACTTGTCCACGACTTCCTTCCTGTTACATCTAGATGAAAGGAAGGAACACTGAAGGAAGTACCCAAAGTACTTGGCATGCCATAAGGCGTCCCTTCCATAAGGTACCTTAGGTAGGTACACTGGAACATACCTAGACACCGTCGCAATAATAAAATGACTCGTTCCTTTTTGTACGCTCTGTGATATCTCTCTGATGCTTGGCCTAGGTATGACTGAGACTCTCATCGTCCATAATTATATACAAACAATAACAACACAAAAGCTACAAGTGCCTGTGTCTCCCATATATAGCTCCGCAACACCATTAATGACTTTTGTGCTCCTCCCTTCTGTTTTGTCCATGGCCTAGGCTCCTATTTCCGAGGGCCTACGGCTCGCACCGGTGTCTACTATGTATATCCAATCCCAATCCAAACTCCTCATGCCATGGTGTATCAGTTTGTTCCTTTTTCCGGTGGTCGTATCTAGTCATTCATAAAACAACAACAATGAATCATATCCTATATTCGCCCCCCTTCAAGAACTTCTCGTTCTAGAATCTCAATCTGGCCAGATTCACCGGTGCGTCGTCGTTCCATGACCCAGCGCGTAGCTCCACTATCTTCCTCTTTGACGTATGATATACTGTCAGCTGAGCCTTTGTGTCGATGGCCCATACCCGGACGCTTTGGAGCTGAGCCTGGCTCAACCATACTAGCCCTGTTCGAAGTCTCCAGAGGGCTCACCATTGCCGACGCCGGCATGCTCTCAACATCGGGAATCGGAGAGATAGGATTGTCAAAAGACTTTGATGGGGGTCTGCTAATGCTTAGAGGCGCTACCGGGACATCCCCTCTAACGCTGGTGTCGAGTTTGGCCAGTGTCGGGACAGGAGGAGGAGACAATGTCAAACCGGGAATGCCACCTGTCAAAGTCGGGCTTCCTGACGCGCTCACACTGTCCGAGTCGTGGCTGATGGTAGACAGGACCGAATTCTTTCGAGTATGGAAGGTCGTTGGGCTCATAATACTCTGACCCCATGGTGAGCTTGATAGGTCACCCCTTTCTGACCGAGGAGACCCATTCTGGCTAGACACAAGACTGGCTTGAGAGCCACCCCAAGCCCTGGAACGAAGACGGAGCAGGGCAGACAATGTCATCTCGTCGCCACGATCACCCATCAGAGCAAGCTGGGCTAGACCAGGACTTTGCAGCGGTGTTCCACTGAAGCCGGGCATACCAAGGCTCATGAACGAGTTTCTGTTGGAATACTCCGACCGCTCTGTGATAGGTGTCAAGTTCGGCTCCCTTGAAATCATGCGTCCACTTGTGCTGCGGTCCAAGCCATTCTTGGGTCCGAAGAAGCCACCATTAGCATACTCAAACTCGGGTCCCTGTTGTTGGCCAGCTGGGGCTGAGTAGAAGTTGAATTCCTGGCCATACCACCCATCGCAGTCATTAGCCAGAGCACTTGCGTTAGCCTCAGCAATAATAGCATCGTCATCGAGCTCGAAATCGGCCATGTCTTCGTAAGAATCGTTGTAGCCACCGTAATCATCAAAGCTCTCATAATCGTCCTGCCTAAAAGAGTCATCATGATCTGGTGTATCAGGCGATTGGCTTGGCTCAGATAGAATGGTTTCATCAGCCGTTGGCGAAGAACTACGCTGAAATTTGCCCGATGCCGCTGCCTTGTAAGTTGCGGCAGCGAGTGCCGCCTGGTAAGCCGCCATAGTATCACTGTTAGGAGGTGATGATGAAGGGACTATTGCTGAGGGACCATGAGGCGATTGCGGTTTGGGACTATCGTGGATAACCTCAGGCTCGACAGGTTGCTTTTCCTCAACACTGAGTGATGTATGAGCCGTAGTCTTGGACGTCTCTGAACCCGCAGAGAAGGGGGCTGTCATATCGGACGATCGAGTCGGTTCATCTGGATTTGCGGATCGTTGCAATGCATTCGCAAATGCCCCTGCGATCGGTCGACCGAATTGATCAGTATCATTGTTGTCAAATATCGACTCGTCAAATGGGGTATCATCCCATTCTGGAGGGGCAGCAAGATCCTCAGCAAACTCGTTCCTCTCGAATTCCAGCATCCCATCATCATAATAGAGCTCGTCATCATTTAATTGGCGCCCTGTATCAATTGGTGGCAAGTCTTGGTTCTTCTGGAATGCAGCCTCATTCTCCAGGCTGGGCACTCTCGGAACGTCCAGTCCTTGGATCCCCAGTCCACCTGCCTGCATCTCTTGATTCAGTTGTTGGTCGAGGGGCAGGTTAGGGGACAATTCTCCAAATATGTTCGGTGTGTATTGACTCATAGCATATCCGATCCGATTGCCTTCTGCATCCCTCGGGGTTGGCAAGAAGCCTGCGCTGCGTGGGCTCGTCAATGATGATGTAGGGCCCGATCGTTGAAAGACGAAGCCAGAGAAGTTCTCTTGATCGTTGTCTGGATCAAGCTCATCGTCTTGATCGTCGACCACCTGTCTGCCCAGCGTATTGTTTAGGTTGTTATCGAGTTGCCCGCCCATGGGGTCATTCAGCGTATTGTTCATGTTATTATCCAGACGGTTGTCTATGTGGTCATTGAAATCATCGTTGAATCCGCCGCCGTCCATATCATCATAGTCATCACCGACCATAGGAATATCTTCCTCGAAACCATCGTCTTCCATCATTGCATCGTAATCGAAGCCATCGTCATCAAAATCATCAAAACGCGAGTCTCGAGCTGCAGCGGGTTCAGCCGTCTTCTTCTCGAGCTCTCGTTGCCGATGCCTATCTTCAAGGAGCTTCTCTTGTTTTGCAGCACCGATCATGTCAAAGCTAAACCTTGAGGAGGTACTCTTCATATGTCGAGGGATCGCAGAAGGGATGTCTTTCCCTGACAATCCAGATAGTGAGGGACCTCTCGATCTACCAGCCCGAGGTGAAGTGGATCTCTCGTGAATGTATGCTTCTTCATCAATCAACCGTGATGCTTGAGGCGACCTTGGCTGAACCGAGATGGGAGCGTTGTCCTTGGGAGGTACGGGAGGCGCATCTGACAAGGCGAGGCTAGCCATCTCTGCTGCAGGAATTTGAGCAGCAGTAGATGCTGTGCTTGGCGTCATCTTGAGGGCTCTAGAGTCTTGGGAGTAAATAGACTCGGAAGCATTACTAGGCTCTCGCTGGGTTAAAGGTGTCGCCGAGAGAGGAGTCTCATCTGCTTGACTGGCAGCTGGGTTCAGAAATCTCTCTTGGGTGGGAAGGGGAGCGGAATTGGGGACTGGCGAGGCGAAAGGAGGCTGCACTGTTTCCCTGTTTGGGTTGTTCCTCTTGGGCCGCGGGGCACTGAAATCATGGACTCGAGTTCCCATGATACGAGGGTCATATATCGGATCCTCGCCTCGCCTCGCCAAGGGTAATGGGCGCAAGTCAGGAGCATGCTGACTGTTCTTGCGCCTCATCAATAAGGTCGACATTGGTTTTTTGAGAAAAGGCAGCCCTTTTTTGGGCTTGGGGATTTCGGTGTTGCTTGTTGTCTGTGTAAGCGAGGGGAGTTCCGTAACCAGTCGGGTACCTGCAGGACGGCGACCGGTAGGTGCAGCGGCTGAGTGCTGAAGATCTGTAGGTGTACTGAAAGAGGATGCAGCTTTTGTATTCCTCAAAACTTGTGGCGATGGCCGCAAAGGAGCGCTGTTTGAGGTTAATGACGGTTGAGATGCTGAATGTTGTCCATGTAGACTAGATCCTTTGCCTTTGTCCGCAGTTTCAAGAGCTTGAGCCTCCAAGTCCCGCTGATATTTTCTAAGAGCGACACCACCTATGAATGATCCCTTACTAGATGAGCTTTTGGAGTTCGGTTGCGGTCGAGGAGGATCTAGCGGGCTTGTGGCATTTTGGCGATTATCTCGTGATTTCCCAAGGTCCTCTGTGGTAACACGGGCTATGGGTGGTAGAGTGGGAGGCAATGCAGAAGAATTCGACGAGGTCGGTCGCAGTTCCGGAGAGAGTGCATCGGGAGAGAAAGGCACAGTGGGTGTAGGCGAAGTAGGATTGTTATCGGGAGAAGGCGAGGCAGGACTCGAGGGCCCTCGCCTGTGGAACCTCAGATGGGACAGCATACCGAAGAACCGGCGGCTGAGGTCTGCGTCAAGGAGAGTGAATCAAAATGTCAACGGCGGCTGGGTGGGGGGAAGCGCTTCCGCGCTCGAGCTTGCGTAAGGGAACCGATGCGTAGTGAGAAAAGGGCAGCGCATCCGTGGGGCAGCGCCCGATGGTGTAGTGTAGGGCGAAGCAGACAGTAGGCGAAGGAGGCGATCGAGACGCGATCATGACATGACTCAAGGGGTCGCAGTCGCAAGAGACAACGTATACATAGTGGCCGATCGATAGGGTGTCTTGTTTGTTTGGGCGTGAGAAGAGCCGGGTATTGATAGCGGGCAGCAAGGGAGCGTAAGCTTGTTTCTAAATGCGCAGCGCAAAGCAAGGCAGCGATAGCCGAAGTATGTTTTTTTTTTTGAGTGAGGCTGGTGCTGATGCAGAGAGACTCGGAGAGCTCGGCGGTATAGTCGATGTAGATTGCCGCGATGGAGAAGATGGGATGAGGTGTTGTTGGGAAGAGGCTGAGGAGATGAAGTGACAACCTGACTAACTTAATGGACCTGACCCCGATGCGTGGTTGGTGACGGATTTA